ATGACCACCGTTATGGTGTTTTTAGTATTGGTGTGATTTGATTGGTGTATTGTGTAGCGAATCGATTTGAATCTTAAATGGTGCTAGCGTTAAATGGTGCTAACTTCACACCGATGCAAGGAAATGGTCGGAAAACGAACCTAACCGGCCGGAACCGACCGTCCCATAATAACCTGGGCAGTTTGGATTTCTAAAAACATAACGTTAAGAGTTAAAAAGATGAAATATTGATCTACGTTAGTGGGGGCGATTGCCATCTCGTATTTTAACCAAATGAAATTAATAATACTCAATGAGAAAAAAAAACATGCGTGTGCTTGTTTATCATTTCATTTATATCTTTCTCATTCTGATCAATAACAAAAGAGCGAGAACAAAAGATAGTACTGACCGATAGATGACCAGGAAATATGAAAGAAAACACTGTATAGGTGCGATTTGGCTAGACTAAATATTTATTCTGAACATGAAAATCAATAACATTGCTAGCGGTCAATCACACCGACTAACTCAACGTTTTTGTCTTATCGTTTGCTCTACTGATGTTATAGGATATAGTGCCACTTACGATTGCTTTCTTTTGTATATGATGAAACGATTGGTACTGGTTAATGTCAGGATACGCGTCGAAATGAATTGAATAATTCATTTTTGAAGAAAAACCAATTGAGAAGAAATTGAGAAAGAGCTAAACAAAAAGAAAGGTAGACAAGGACTGAATGACCTAATTTGTAAGATTACCTTCGAAACAAATCGTCACCAACCCTTCAGTCGCGCGCTCAAGTCGATATTTTAACGTTTCTATTTTTCGTACTTGATATTACAACTCGCATGCCTTCGATAACACCTCGATATCATCGAGGGTATAATACGAAAGATGCGAACGAAGCATCTTCGATCATTCTGCGTACAAACTATGTATTTTATTCTAGATATAAATCGCGACAGCGTTTTGTGAAAATGTTTATACCGTTCTTGAATTCTGCAAAATTATCGATGCGATATTCCGGTTAGAATTAGAAGACAATCATCGAAGTTTACTTTATGTGATTCTTCTACTTGATGATCATTTGAGTCATTATATCTCTTTATATTTTCCAGTCGAATCAGCAAACATTAATTAATAGTTAGATTCTTCTTTCCACAGAATCAACTTTTGACCATATATGAATTTTCATTGAAAATTATGTAATTTTTTTTTCGAAATGAACCGAATGTTCGGTAGGAGTGTACTTCACTGAAATACTCTTTTTCTATTCTATATTATCATCAAAGCTCGATGTGTATTTTGAATAATGAATTGTTGTAAACTGGCACCATCTATTCTTTTTTGTATTTCTCTTTCAGATCAAATGAAATCTATTGGACAGTTGGTTAAAACTACATATACCAATAACAACCGTCAATGATTTACTTAATACAAATTGTCGAGAATGTGAATCGTTGTCTTCTCTATCGTTTCAATTAATTTCAATATTCATTCAATCGATCAATATCTTTGATTTATTTTAGATGTCACTTCAAGTGAGATTTATTACAAGACTCGACAAGTAAAAATGATCACCTAAAAACATATCTTGCTTATTTTACTTTTCTTTTTGAAGATATTCCGTACCGGATTCAACATTGGTTATTCCATCATCATCGACCAATGCACAATTAGAAGCAATTCTCAAAGGATTATTACAATCATCAGGTTTGACTTCATTTCCAATTAAAATTTCCAGATATGACATGTATTAATGTATTTTAGTATCATCGAAAGAATTAACTCGTGTTTCATTTGATTTTTTATGTTTAAATCAATTGATTCGTTCATCATTAGAAGAACATATTCGTGAAAAAGATGAATCATTACTTGAATCAGTTATTGATATCGAATATATTGAAAAATTCCAAGCTCCTGAACCCGAAGATGCATTAATGCATGATGATTGGGTTTCTGCATGTCGATCATTAGGTGATACAATTTTAGTTGGTTGTTATGATACAAAAGTTCATCTATGGAATAATCAAGGAGAACATATAACAAGTCTTCCAGGACATACTGGTCCTATTCGATCTCTTCTTTTTATTCATTCTGATGAAGGTGAACATGAATTTATTAGTGGATCACATGATCAAACGATTTTAATCTGGAAATATGATCAAAATAAGAATTCTGTTCAATCATTGATTACTTGCAAAGGTCATCAAGGAACAATTGAAGCATTAGCTCTGCAAAAAACATGTTTTGCGTCTGGTTCATTTGATAAAACCATCAAACTATGGGGTTTAGGTTTGTTGAGACAATCTTTTTCTCTTTTTATTTTCTTCTTTTTCTTTTTAAATAGAAGAACAAGAAGATAAATCAGCAACAAAAGAGTGTCGTGTAACAATCAATGCTCATAATGAGAATGTTTCATCAATTGGTTGGAGTTCGTCAAATGAACTTATTTCATGTTCATGGGATCAATCAATTAAATTATGGAATATGGATACATTACAATCAACACAAACCTTCGTATGTTGAATAATTAATGAAAGTTTCTTTTTCTATCGTTTATTTTAGAAATGTGGTAAAGCTGCTCTTTCTCTTGATATTTCACCTATCAATGGTTTATTAATTTGTGGTTTTACTGATCGATTCATTCGTCTTTATGATACACGTGTTCAAGGTAATTTTGATTTGAAAGATTTTCTTTTCATTTCAAAATGAAAATTTGATTTTGTAGAAGGATATGTTCTTCGATCAACATTTTCATCTCATAGTCAATGGGTTCCAAATGTGATGTGGTCAAGAACAACTGAACATCTATTTGTATCTGGTTCATATGATTCATTAGTGAAATTATGGGATACTCGTTCATTAAAAGCACCACTCTATGATTTACAAGGACATGAAGATCGTGTTTTGTGTGTTGATTGGTCAATTAATTCATTGATTTTATCTGGTGGTGCAGATAATTCATTGAAAATGTTTTCATTCAAATAAACAAATTGTTTTTTGTTGTCTTTGAAAATAAATCAAAGAAATGGTTTTCGTAAAGATTTTACATTGAAATTCTTTTCAACCATTAGAAATTTTGATCATTTCTCTAACTTCATTCTCCAAACAAGATTGTCGACATAGAAATTCGAGGATTAAGTAGAAAATCGAATGATGATTGTGCATATGACTATATTGTTTTTCTTTGCGATCGGACAAAATGATGTCAAGAAGATATCGTGACAAAAAAAAGTACTTTCAATTGCAGCACATTGTACAAACAAACTTTCTCTATTATTTCTTTATTTTTTCAAGCAAAAATATGTTTAAAACAATTATATAAGAGAAGCAAACAGTGAAAAAGCATTTCTTTTCGATTTCTTTTTCTCTATCGAATATTTCGATTTTGACGAATAATTTAATAAAAAAACGAAGTTCAAAAAATGGATGGATCAACAAAAGAATCTTCTAAACGAAATATTAGTCGTGTAAATCCAACTGATGAAAATTATGAAAGTGTTATATTCGTTTGGTTTAATCCTCAAGATCAATCAAATGTGAATATAGTTGGACCACTTCGTGCTATTAATCATAATGTACAAACATTTAATGAATCTTCATCTTGCTTTGAAATGATAAGATCTTCAAATGAGAAAATCTTTTTTATATCATCAATAAATAATATTCAATTAATTTCTACTGTTCATGATTTTCCTGCTGTTGAAGCCATTTTTATTCTTGATCCCAATGAAGATATGGTGAGAGGAGATTTTCCGAAATTATTTGGTGTATTTCCTCAACAAGAAGAATTACTTC